ATATATATATATATAATATTAATAGTATTAACAGAAATAAATACAAATAAATAAATAAATATATAAAATAATAAGTATATATTAGTAATGATAATAATCATAATAATATTAATATACTGTTAAGATATTGTTGCTTTTATATTAACAACAAATAAACCATCAGCTTAAGATTAAAAGTGAAGATGTACTTAAGACAGCTTTCAGAACAAGGTATGGCCATTATGAATTTTTAGTCATGCCTTTTGGATTAACCAATGCACCGGCTGCATTTATGGATTTGATGAATCAGATCTTTAGGCTCTTTTTGGATAAATTTATTGTGGTATTCATCGATGATATTTTAATTTATTCCAAGAATCAGAAGGAACATGAGCAGCTTGTAAGAATGGTATTGCAAATATTAAGAGAAAAGAAATTGTATGCCAAACTTAATAAATGTGAATTTTGGCTTGAACAAGTGACATTTTTAGGACATGTTATATCAAAGGAAGGTCTATCAGTTGATCCTTCAAAGGTTGAAGCCGTTGTTAATTGGAAACAACCAAGTAATGTGACTGAAGTTCGAAGCTTTTTGGGATTGACAGGATATTACAGAAAATTTGTAGAAGGATTTTCTTGAATCGCAACCCCATTGACTCGATTGACACAAAAAAATGTCAAATTTGAGTGGACAAGTGAATGTGAGGAGAGTTTTCAAAAACTAAAAGTTCGATTAACTTCATCACCTATTTTAACTATTCTTGAGGGGAGTGGGGGATTTGTGATTTATAGTGATGCTTCACATAAAGGCTTGGGCTGTGTATTAATGCAATATGGGAAAGTAGTGGCATATGCATCCAGACAGTTGAAAGAATATGAGAAAAAATATCCAATTCATGACTTGGAGCTAGCTGCAATAGTATTCGCTCTAAAAATATAGAGGTATTATCTATATGGTGAGCAATTCGAAATATACACGGATCATAAGAGTTTGAAATACCTCTTCTCTCAGAAGGATTTAAATATGCGGCAGATAAGATAGATGGATTTCTTAAAAGATTATGATTGTACAATCCATTATCATTCAGGAAAAGCTAACGTTGTGGCCGACGCTCTAAGTAGAAAATCTACGGGAGTCTTAGCTCATCTAATGATCCAAGAAATGAGATTGTTAGAGGAAATAGTGGATTGGCATCCAACTCAGTCCATTAATGGTGTGGTAAGTATGATTGCCAACATTAAGGCAGAACCCCAATTAATCCAATAGATTCGATTGGCACAAAAGAAAGACCCTCAGCTTATAAACTTCTCTTTCCTTCTCTTCTTAAATTTGGTTATTTTGATTATTTTTAGATAGATTTAATTTTGCAGTAGATTTTCTTTATTTTGGCAAAAAGATCATGCTGGCACTGCCAGTGATTTGAAGAGAAATTGGCCTTTCGAGATTAATTAGTCTTTAAATCATAATTCGATACTTCTCTATAAAAAAATTAATTAATTAGTTTTCATAGCGATAGATCAGGGGATCTTAGATTTGAGATCTTCTCTGTTTAGCACGGTAAACACTTATTAAGGGGTCCGAATTTCTACGTGTGAGTCCGTGGACTCATAGAAACCGTGTCCTTATCTAAATTTATTGTCAAATCAAATAAATTATAGTGGACTAAAAAATAAAACAGAATTAGGCTTGGGCTTGAGTGGTTCGTAGTTGGCGTTAGCAATGTAGTATCTCAAGTTTGACTAAACATGAATCCCCACTGAAATAAAAATTCTAGTAAAACATAATTGGATATCTTTTTTTTAGAAATAAAGTTTTGACATTTAAATATCATAAAAAAAAAAAATTAAATTTTTAATTTTGGAAAATTATAAAAAATATACATTAATTTTTGGATTATTGAAAAGAAATCCCAAACTTTGTAAAACCTAATCCATACCCTTTTTTCAGTGAATAGACAAAAATAGCCTTGATAGTAGTTTTAGAACCGTGAAGGCATCACAGTCTATTAAAAACCGTGATGGTCATGTCCGGTTGTAAATCAAATGTAATTTTGAAGCATCACAGCACTTAAAGAATCGTGATGATTTATTGGACTATCATGGTTCTAAGTTTGCAGTTATGCCTTTGTCACAGGGCATAAGAACCCTTAATGACAATCACGGCTTTTTAAGTGTCGTGATGCCTCAAAACATTAAATCGCCCATGACCATAACGGTAGCGAGCCTACCGTGGTGCCTACATGGTCCTAAGACTACCTATGAAGGCTATTTTGGTAAAACAAATACAAAAAATGATAAAAAAGGGGTATAGATAGGATTTGGAAAGTTAGGGATTTATTTTCAATAATAAAAATTAAGGTATAATTTTGATAATTTTTTTTGAATTTTAAATATTTAAATTTGACTATCCAAAAAATAGAAAGTTTTTATTCAATCTTAGCACGACATTATTTTCTAAGATGATATGGGGTGCATGTGAAATTGATTTTTTCTAGGTTGGTGGCTAGGTTGAGAAGAATAAATTCCAAAATTTAGAGTTTTAAAATTACTACTCGCACTTTACTTAGGAAAAAATTTATATAAGGTTGCAATCTTAAAATGTAGAAATAAAGATGTATCTAAAAAATCTATCGAAAATGGTTGTTTTAATGTTGGAAAACGCTTTAGTTGATCATCTCGACATCGATATGTATGAGTATGAAAAGAAAAAGATTTTGAGTCCTAGAAATAGTATATCTTGCAACACATTATCTAGATCGTCCATTTTCAAGATTTTTATATGTTTATAGATCTACTTGATTTTAACCATTTTGGCGTTAAAAATTTTATAATTAGATATGAAAATAGATTTTTAGATAATCCTAAGAATTTTTTTCACCAAAACTATATGTTATAATAAAATTTGGAAATGCGTCTTAATTGGATTGTTTAAAGTTGCAACCTTATAAAAACTATACCTTTTTACTTAGGGAGTGAATATACATCATGCTTTAGGAAGCATATAACCATTTGGCATTTCAAATTACATCAAATAAGTCTTTTTTAAAACAAAAAACAAATCTTTGGAGCCGTGCCTTTGCACTAAATTTTCAAAGTTTTAAATAAGTGTTTTAAAGCTTAGCAGTCCCTAATGGGAATCCCCGATTCACACTGGGAAATGTCACGAGTCGATTTGGGAAGAAATCGGTACAACTCGTTCCCCTAAAACCCCCAATTTCATTTCTTTCCTTATTTTTAGCTTATCTAATATTCTTTTACATCATCTAAATCCCTAAACCTTTCTTCTACTTCTTCTTTTATTTTTTTTAAAAATAAAAAAAATTATTTCTACATCTTTTAAGACCCCAAAACCCCTTTTCTAATTTTATTTTTATTTTATTTTTTTGATTTTGATTTTATATTTTTTGAATCATTGATACTGTTCAATCGGAATAACCAATATGATAAGAACACGTCGTGGACAATCCACCCCACCAATGAATGATTATTTTTCAAACCGTGAAAATCTGGCACAATTTTCAATTATATATTCAACTTCCAAATATATTTAATTTTTTTCCATTTTCTTTTCTCTTTTTTGCAGTTATCCAAACTTATCTTCAAACAAGAACTGTGGTACACTTGAACTTATCCTCAAAATAATGTCCTAAAATCTATCCAAATTTTGCACGGGTATTTTCGGCTATTTCTTAAAAATAAGATAGATTATTATTTTTAGTTTTTAAAATTTTCTTATTTTTTCATTATTCATGATCTCCATCCATGTTAGAGATTACATGTCTTTAAAAATTAAGTCCAAAAATCCATTTCAAAAATAATTTATTAATAGGACCGCATTTCTACATATGTGGGCTTGGCTGCATAGAAACCAGGTCATTTTCTAAGAAAAATTGTCTCATGCGGGCTGAACCACATGACTACATATGCGGTCCAAAAAGTGCAAAGCATCCATCTTAAAGATGGACGCAAGTAGGTGTTCCATCTAAAAACTTTAGAAACTAATGGTACAAATATTTTCTTATTAGAATTATTTTTTTAAATTATTAAAATTTACTTTTTTTCCATGTTAGAGATTACATGTCCTTAAAAATTAAATCCAAAAATCCATCTCAAAAATAGATTTATTAATAGAACCGCATTTCTACACATGTGGCCAACCCACATATTATAGAAATGCGGGCTTGGCAATAGATGTATTTTTTAAATATAATTTGATCATAATTTTTAGTGAATATATAATTTTTAACGTGGAGATCATGAATATGAATTTTTTTTTTGAAAATTAGAAGTATTAATTATGGGTGCAGTTTCTATAAAGTTGCAACTTTAAACAATTCAATTAAGGCGCACTTCCAAATTTTATCATAAGATGTAATTTTGTTGTAAAAATTTCAAAAGATTATCTTAAAATCTATTTTCACATCTAATTAAAAAATTTTAAACTCCAAAAATAGTTAAAATCAAGGAGATTTATAAACATATGAAAATGTTGAAAATAGACGGCCTAGATAATGTGTTGCAAGATGCACTATTTTTTAGGTTCAAAAACTTCTTTTTTTTTTATATATTCATACATTTTGATGTCGAGATGATCACATAGAAGGTTTTTCAACATTAAAACAATATTTTCGATAGATTTTAAAGATGCATCTATAATTCTACATTTTAAAGTTGCAATCTTACATAAACTTTTCTCATTAATTATATTAAAAATATATTTAATAAATAATTATAATTATTTTTAGATAGACCACGTATTTGTATCTATATGATTAATATGAACGCTTTACACTTCTGGACAGCATAACATAGAAATGCCGTCTAGTCCGCACGAAACGACCGTCCTTTTTTAATCCCCTTTCTTTTTCAAGAGTCCAATCTTCTTGGAGATGCTTTAGAACTTTCCAAATCTAACCCCAGTCAAATCTAGAAACGGTTAATCTAACCCTGGTTAAACTCTACTCAACCCAATCCTTATTAATCGGAAACTCCTGATTGATCGATAAACCCTTCCGCATCGAACCAGATAAAGCTTTCTAGGGTTTCTTCTTTATATTCCGAGATCTTTTGCCTTCTTTGCAGATATCGTTTACCTTCTGGTAGTGGGTTGGAGTTTCGGAGTCCCTTGGTTGGTGTTTCTCTGAGTTCATTGCTCTGAGGGTTCTCGAGCTTTTCGCTTTATTTCTGGGTTTTCTTGAGAACTTCGTGTGTTTGCTTTGGTCCTGTTTGGAGGGAATTAGGGTTTTGGAGGGAATTAGGTTTATCAAATAGGAAGAACTAGGGTTTTCTGGTTCGAGGGATTAGGGTTTTGGTGAAAGATTTGGTAGGATCATACATGGCTGCAATTCAACACGTTCAAGAAGCTCGCACCTCTTATTTCCTTGTTATTTGCTCCCCTTCAGTGTTTATTTAGCCCTTTGGTGAAGCCCTAGGGTTTTCGAGGCGGAGCTTCTTTCTTCTGCTATCTGTTTAGGGTTCGAGAAATCCTAGGGTCTTTAGTTCCAGAGCCTTCTCGTTCTCCTCTTTCTCCCTTTCTCTCTCTCGCTATCTATCTATCTATCTTGCTTTTTGATTTCGGAGATTTTCTTGGTTAAAGAACCCTGGCGATTGTACAGTTACCCAAGTTTTCTCTCACATCTCTCTGCAATCTCTCGATCAGAGAGATGCCTAGCATAAAGTCTGATCCTCTGTACAATGACACGGAGCCATTTGTGGAGACTGATCCTTCAGGGAGATTTGGGCGTTACAATGATCTTCTAGGCTCTGGGGCTGTGAAGAAAGTTTACTGGGGTTTTGATCAAGAAGAAGGCATCGAAATCGCATGGAACCAGGTTCACCTAGGAAAGTTCTCTGGTGATGAACGAATGGTGAAGAGGCTTCAGTCTGAGGTCTGTTTACTGAGGTCTTTGGGGCATAAGAATATCATTACTCTCTATGCTGTGTGGTTGGATAGAAAGAACCATACCCTAAATTTCATTACAGAGGTCTGCACTTCTGGGAACTTGAGGGAATACAGGAAGAAGTACAAGAATGTGTCTCTCATGGCTTTGAAGAAATGGGCGAGGCAAATTCTAAGGGGTTTGGAGTATTTGCATAAGCATGAGCCTTGCATCATTCACAGGGATCTCAATTGTAGCAATGTCTTCATCAATGGCAATGTTGGTGAGGTTAGTTTTCAATTTCTTGTCTAGTCATTGTGTAATATATATATATTTTTTTTATTTCTTGTTTTGATGATTGTGTATTTTTCTCGATTTCTGTTTTCTTTGGTTGGTATAGTTTATGGATTATTTAGTTATGTACTTGCCTTGAATTATTATTATATTTTTTTTTGCTTTTTATGGTGATTTCATTAGTTCTTGAATTTCTGGTTTAATCTTACATTGGTTAGTTACGATTTATGGTTTTTATAGTTTGGTTCGTGTGTCCTTCTTAGTAGGGGTTACTCGACTTCTTGCTTAACCTTTTACTCTTTTGCTGTTCAATAATTTTCATTGCTTAACCTTATTCTCTTTTTCTGTTTGTTTTTATTGCTAGTTTTGCTGGCAGGTATTGCACACTTTTTCTTCTTGATTTTTGTAATTAATTATGAATTATGTTGATGTTCGATTTTCAGATTAAGTCTTTTTATGGTTAGGTTATTCTCCGAGTTCCTTGCTTAATTGTACACTGTTTTTCTGAGTACTGTGTTTTTATGTTTCTCTTTTATGCACTGATTACTTTTCATATAATAAGATATCTTTGTATTCTTTTTGTCAAAATTAACTTTAGTGATTGACTATCACTGATATGCCTGACCTTTGCAATGGTTATCTTCCTGTTTTGTGGATGCCAAATAATACAGGTATCTTATCAATCTACTACCCAATTTAGTTGTTATGATAACGATTAAAATTTGTAGGAGGTGCCAAGTGCTCAGCAGTCAATTTTTTGAATTTCAATCCAAAATATAGTTGCTATCGGGTTCCTCTTATCGGTTTCAGAGCCTGGTTCTTGTGACAATGATGTTTTCTCGAGTTACGCAATAATATATTTCAGTTACCAAAACAAAATTCTAGTAGTATCCTAAATTTTGAGAAAATCAATGGTCTCAAGAACCCTAG